TTGGGTGAGTCACAGGCAGTTTGAACAATAGATGCATGAGGTTTAACTCTTTAGGGTTCACGCCTTGCAATTTGCCATTCATATGCTTCAAGAATGCTAAACAATAAAGAAGATCCAAGTTTTTTGTCATGACATTCAAGAATGCTAAGCTTGAGTGTTCATTTGGATGTTGAGTTGATTATATTGAGTATTCTTTTTGTAAAATTTGTAGGCTAATTTATTTTCAAATTGATTTTTTTTTAATTATGAAATAGGTTTATAGTATCTTGATTTGATGAATGTTAGAGTTATTTATATTAAGATTGTGTGTTAATTTAATGTACTTCCATCATTTTAGGGATTGTGTCAATTAGTATGAAATAGGTTTTTATAGAGTCTTGATTAAAATTAAGATTTGTGTGTTAATAGAATGTTGTGCGTTAATTTCATTCTCTATAAGATTTTTAGGCTAATTTGTTTTCAAATTGAGTTTTTAATTTGGGTGTTAAACAAGGTTTGGAAATTTCACAAACTTTATTCATGTTTTTTTTTAAATTATGAAATAGGTTTATAAGATTGGATGTTCATTCAAGTGTTTCTGTTATTGCTTCAGTGAGTTGGCTCGGTGGATTTAACAATTTTGATGTAAGTTTCAACAAGCTTGATTAAGAAACAGAGACTATCTTTGGCTCCTCCCTGACTCTCGCTCTCACCCTCCTTCCATCCCAAAATCCCACCGCCTCAACACACACACACACACACACACATCTTTGATTTTGTAGCACACACGCACAAGCTTGATGAGGGAACAGAGGTGTTTGCAACACACACACATATTTCTCCCTCTCTCTCTTTTGTATTTTTTTTTATTATTATTCTTTGTTGAATTGTGTAATTTAATCACATGTTGGTGTTGTCCACTAACTATCTATTATTATGCTCCATAGGACTTTTTTTCTTAGTGAATTTTGTTGTCGGTTAATGGCAGTAAAACAAATGGCTAACAAATTCCTAGCTTTGGAATGTTGAAGGTAAGTGTTCTATCCATGGGCTTTGTCTCAATGTGATTAGTTGTGTATGTATCAATCATGCCATTGAGTATCTTAGGTAGAAAGCATAAATATGTAGCTCGCTATCAAATTTGGGGCTTAGATAGCTAAGAAGTGTGTACTTTCTTTGCCTTCAATTAATTTCAATTATGGGTCAATTTCTTCAATGTTATGATTAAAGGTCTCTATGCTTGAACATGAAATTGCAGTTCTGGGCTTTATGTTAACACTTTAAAAGGTGTCAATTTGTGGTATTTAATGGGAAACAATAAAGAAAGGTTTGCTTTTGAATAGACATAGAATAATCATATGGGTGTGATAAGATGGGAAATAAATATGAAAAAGCCCAATGCACCAACCCAATTTTACTAATATTGCTAGCGTTGTTATAGAAAATCTAGCACTACCTAATTTATATTGTTTTTATGAGTTTTGCTATATTCAGTTGGTCTCGGTTTAATCTTATTTGGGTCATGGATTATATCTTTTGTTTTTATTGTTAAGTTAAAAATTGACTTTTATTTGTAACAAGAAAGCAAGTAGACTTGAAATGTTTTCAGATTCATGTGTTTTATTTTTATTATGAAATTGGTATTTTTATTACTCTTAGGAATTTCGTGTTTGTGGTGGTCATTTGGACAACTAAGATTTTTATTTTTATTTTTGTTTTGTTCTTGATTAAATATGGTGACTTTTGATAATTTTTGTTTGTTGTTCTAGCTAATATTATGTTTGTAGTATGATGTTCCATTTGACTGTATGTACTACAAGTAAGCATAAAACAAAAATTTCAATTTTTTTCATTCTCATTTTCTTTTTATTATGATTATGAATAATATTTTTTGAAATTTCTATAGACTCTTTACATTTGATCTTTGTTTATACTATGAAAGCCCGTCAATTTATGTATCGACTAGATAATTGATAAGAGCGACCATCCAATATATTTGTTCTAGATTAAATATGGGACTTTGATAATTTCCATTTGTTGTTCTAGCTAATATTGTGTTCGTAGTATGAGCTTCCACTTGACTGTACGTATTACAAGTAAGAATAAAACTCAAATTTCAATTATTTTCATTCTCACTTTCTTTTCATTAGGATTATGCACAATTTTTTTTTTTTTTTTAAATTTCTAGACGCTTTACATTTGATCTTTGTTTATACTACGTAAGCTGTCAGTTTATGCAGTGACTGGATAATTGATAAGAGCGGTCATCCAATATATTTTTATTAATAGGTTGTTTTTGCACTTTGTCTGTGAAAGCAATGGATGTTGTCTGTAGATAAACGGAGCTCTCTTAATGTTTTGTCAATGCTTTAGAATTTTTATATTGTGTTGCTTCCAAGTTGTGTTTGTACTGGCACGTGCATTAGTTGAATGTTACATGTTACAGTTATTTTGATAGAAGTGGGTGATTGAATGATGGTGGTTTGATTAGATTTGGTTTAACAAATTTGGTTTCATTCTTCATTTCATATGGATTGGTATATGTTTTACCAATGTAGTTACTATGCTTTGAAACTGTAATCATTTTCTCTAATATCCCATCAATTTGATTTCTTTTGTTGAACTATCTTGCAAATTTTTGTTGTAGGATTGTAATAGGAGATGTTGGACACTAACGGATCAAAGTAGGAAACACATCTAGATGGTAAGGTAGGGGTAAGTTCTCGTATGCACTGCAATATCCTTGGTCTTCTTTGAATATTATTTTGTTGCGGTGATATTTGTTGAAAAAATACATATGTGATTCATGTGATCCTTGCAAAAGTAGAAACAAAAATAAGGAAGTTGGACGTTTCAAACATGTTGAAAGTTTGATTAACATATCAATTGTTTTATGTATTACAGGTTTTTGAAAATGACGGTTTTCTTAGAATTTTGATCCATGTTAGTTTGGGGTAGGTTATGGCCTTTGTAAAAACTCTCAATTCATTCTACTTTGTTCAATTTTTATTTGATCTTTTAAATTATTGCTAGATATATATCGGAGCTAGAGTCCATTGGGTCTACAAGGCTCCAATACTAAACCTTTTTTCACATCAATGGCTTCCAAAAAATCTAAGATTTGATTATGGCCTTAATGAGTTTTGTTGGTTCAGTTAAATTTATATAGTGAGCTTTACTTTGGTGATTTTTCAACACAATCTTAAGCTAATATAATTATTTTGTATGATTGTGAACAATAAATTTTGGTTATTTGGTTAGACTTACATATATTACATGTAACTGTGACATTTGTTATTATGATATAAATATTATTTTTGTTTGACTTGAATAATGACTAAAATATAATAATGTCTTTGCGTTAGGTTAAGGAATTTATTCTTTGAGATTGTGTTGGGCAATGATACATATAATTAGATATATAAACTTTGTATACAAGTTGAGATTATTCGGAATTCTTTTTTTTTTTGGTCGAAAATAGCAAGGGTAAGTTTGATTTCAATGTCTTTAATTAAAACAAATGGAGGAAAAGTTATGATTATGAGCGTTTTTTTAAGTTTCAAAGTGTCGGGTAATTACTAGAATATTTATATCACTTATCAAACATAAAATTTGATTGAATTTTTTTTTGAATCCCATGTGTAAATCCTTTGGGCTGGGTTTGGATACGTTCCATAAATTCAGTCCAAAACCCCGCAAATTAAACATCCAAACATGCTATAAATTTAAGTTTGTTAATCTTTATAAATAACTTGGATTTAGTTTGAGCTTAGAAATATAATCAAATTTGATTTATTGTGCAATTTTATTTTTTTAATCAAAATTTATTGTGCAATTTTATTTACTGAAATGTCCATCATTGTACAGTCGATGTGAGCTTTGTTTCCTTTGCATCTCTGAATAATTTCCAAAATCAAGGACATTCGTTTGTGTTGATAAAGTTCATATATAATAAGGTCTCTTCGGACCCTCAAACAAAAACTATACTATAGAAATGGATTTCAGAAAGTGTTGAATCAGCCCAGAATAAGATGATCTCGCAATTACCCAAAATAAAATCTGACTGACCTCATAGCTTCACTCCATTCCTAAATCAACGGCTGTGAATCGACCGAATCTCAGAAATCAGAGCACCCACCGTTTCGTTCCCAATCGCCGAAGAGAGTAGGTTCGGGACCTCCGATCTCACCGGTCTCTTTATTCACTTGAACGCCATCACTGTCCTCATATCCTCATCTTCAGCATCGCCATTGCGAGTATCGTCATCTTCACTTTCGAGCTTCTCTGAGTTTTCCGAGACCTCACCTTCTGGTTCCTTGGGGTTTTCTTGATGAGATTGTTTTCGCTGCGTCGAAGACCAAATAAGTCGAATCGCTGAGATCGAGAGTTCGGATCTGCCGAAGGATAGAGATAACTTTGGAGGCTTGGAAAGCTCGATTGCTGATGTGAATAGACGGCCCAGATTGCTCGCCATCTTCTTCTTCGTTTTTGTCTCCGCCGCTAGAAGAGAACTCTCTCTCGGTCCCCAGAGAGAGACCGGCGGCGCCTGAGCTTTAGACACATGAGGCGGTGGGACTCGTCCTTTTCTGCAACGGTGTCGTTTTGGTTGTGGGCCTTGTGGCCCAAACTCACACCATACACCAATCAAATGGGCAATTACAAGGCCCAATTTCTTTGTTTCATCATTAATCCAGCGTCTTAGAGAAGCTTGCCATTGGTCAAAAATTCTAAATGGGCCTTAAAATTCAATTCAGTTCCATCCAAGTAGTAAGCATTGGTTTTCCGGGGGAAGTGGATGTATCACCATCTTGAAGCATACCATAATCTTACTAAGAAACAAGAAGAGGATCGCAGAATGGAAGGGTCAAATGCCTGGAACTAGACTTCATTTTTGCTGTTATCATCAATATTTTAGAGTGCAGAAATTTGACAGCAAATCTTCAAGCCATCCCGTAGCTTTTCGAGTTTCAAAGTAGTTCACCCCAGAGATATCATCCATTATATGATAGTAGTTCAGAATACTAACCGATTCAGGACCAAGGAAACCCATTGCTAAAAGAACTAGATCAGCCTCAATCATCTCCTCAGAGCCCTCAACTTCCTTAAATTGAAACTTCCCCCTAGCATCCTTCTCCCAGTGGACATGGACCACTTCCAATCCTTTCACAACCCCATTCTCATCTCCAACAAACCGCTTAGTCAATACCTCATAGGACTTTGGGTCTTTGCCAAATTTGGCAGCAGCTTCCTGGTGTCCATAATCTATGCGGAATATGCGAGGCCACTGCCAACCAGAAAAGACGGGCAAAAATTTGTATTGACATCTAAAAATAAGGCATATGAAATGGTAATAAAAAAAATTGGGTTATACATTTTCAAAATTACACAGCCTTTTAGTTGAGACTTCCTATCAAAAATCTGACATGTAATGCAAATATGCACCAATATGTTGGACCGCATTGCTCTTGATATTCCCTAAGCACAGGATCCCTTATTCTTGTTCTTTTTTCTTTTCCATTTTAAATTGATAGAATTAAAATCAAATCTCAGACTCCCTGCTCCTTTTTTCTCCCTTTTGAGTGGCACTGTCAACTGCTTACCATTGTACTATACAGGTTTTGGTATGCAGCATCAGACTTATCATTTTGCTGTGCTAGAAATTCTCTGCTAATCACAATCTCGATTGAATTTTATCAAATACTAACAATATTTAGAGAAAGTTAGTGAAATAATTTGCTATCCCGTGCTATGACCCACAGCAGAAGGCTATAAATTAAAATTGAGCAAAAGTTTTAAGGTGGTCAATTTTCATTACCTTGTTCCTATGAGTAAAAGTGATAACTGTATCAACTGGGGAAAAACTAAGAAAGGGGTCAAACCTGTGGCCAAGGGTTGCCAGGAGCCCTGGTTCGTGGCGGCTCAGGGAGAAGCTCTAAATTAACAATACTACTGCAACTGTGACGGATAGATGTCCCAATACAATCTGTGCCGGTGTCACCTCCACCAATTACCACTACCTTCTTGCCCTTTGCAGAGATGTATTTACCGTCCTGATGATTGCTATCAAGCAAGCTTTTAGTATTGGCGTGAAGAAACTCCATATCAAAATGGACTCCAGTGAGTTCGCGCCCAGGAACAGGGAGGTCCTGTAAATATTAGTTCACGAGTTATATTCTGTCCTGAAGATGGGGGGAAAGATCTGTTAAGTTTCACAAATTTTCTATTTATAAACAATCCAAACAAGCATCATCCATAACTCATTCTCCATGACTCACCTGGGTTTTGTGGCGCCTACCGCCAAAACAATAGCATCATTCTCCTGGCGAAGCCGATCCAATGAGTAAAAAGGATCTTTTCCTACATTAACATAGACCACAAAATTCACACCTTCCTTTTCCATAAGGTTAACCCTCCTTTGGACAACATCAACTTTGTCAGTCTTCATGTTAGGGACCCCATACATCATAAGTATTAGCAACAAACCACAGCTCGGCACACTCAACAGTAGTGAGAGTCAATGGAGCAATAAGGAAGCACAAGATTCTTGGAGAAAAAAGGGGGAAGACTCTCACAATATTGCCGAAATTAGTGGAGAGACGTTGAGGGGCATTGGAGCTCTAACTGCAATAAGTTTAAACCAAAATAATTATCCAGCAAGTCCTAAAAATCAGGAAAAATCAGACCATTTGTAGCAGCAGATTTTATGAGAAATCAGACCATTTGTAGCAGAAATCAGTGGAGAGACGTTGAGAGGCATTGGAGCTCTAACGGCAATAAATTTAAACCAGAATAATGATCCAGCAAGTCCTAAAAATCTGGAAAAATCAGACCATTTGTAGCAGCTGATTTTATGAGAAACCATTTTGTAGCAGATTTTTTGGAAATCATTTCGTTGTATTACTTGTTTAAATACTCCTCTTGTAATGCCTAATGGTTCACGTTGCCGATTATTGAATAAGAGACATATCAATTCAAGCTTTCTTCTTCCTCTGTTTTTATCTTTTTTCCTCTATAAGTCCACCAATTCAATCAGCACGCTCAATCACAGTCACACTATGGCCCATTTTGTTCAATTGATCAGTGGCAGCCAATCCAGCAGGGCCACTTCCAATGATAGCAACTCTTTTTCTGTAAGAGTGAGGAATATTAGGATCAGTTTCGCCATGACATTTCATTCGAGACAATATAGTACTTGTGGAAAAGTCCAATAAAAGAAACGGAAGTTTCTAAGCTTAAAAAAGAATCTTAAGACTTGCAATCACACCAGAACAGAAAATATATTTTTTTTTAAAAGTGGAACACCTCTTAAGATGTGGGAAACTACAGTCAAGCTAAAAATCAAAAGCATACCCAGTTCTCCTTGAGGGAGGCCGTGGCACCATCCATCCCTCCTCAAAAGCCTTGTTATCAATGGATTTCATCAGGGGAAGCATAGTTTTTAGGGAACGCGATCCTGGAGGTACTAGAAGGTTCATTGCAGGTATTCAGTGGTAAATCACTAGAATCTGCATTCCGGACCCCAGTACAGGCCAATGTCAACATGAGTCTTGACTGCATCCCTCAAGCAAAAATCCAAATTATGTAACTTAATGATATTTGCTTCCAGGTTAGGTCAGGTTATCATACTTCTGCCAATGATCTTTGCTTCCAGGTTTGGTCAGGTTATCATACATCTGCGGGGTGCAGTGCCTCTGCTTTCTAATGCATCCAGTCATCGTTATATATTTTTATAAATTTCTGCGTTCAAAATGCAGGAAATTTCTGCGTTCAACAGCACTGCCTCATCAGTATCACACATTTTATTAACATTACAATCCAAGGACTGTACACAAAAAAAAGTAGAACGGTGTCATTAACTTCTCTAGTTTAAAAAGACATCATTGACTTAAATAATTGAGGAACATGTCTGGCCTTAGTAATATCTGACTTAAACTTCATGACCTCTCATTCAAAAAAAGCCGCACCTATTTAACTAACCATTTTTAAATTAACAACATCATCATCCTGCTTATCCGAAAAATGGGAAGTTTCTCCTAAACAAGTATATGTGAGCATGCAAACGGATCACAGATACACCCAATGGCATGGAAAACAATTAATTCACTAGTTACTAAACAACTTACCAATTTACATTTCCCCGGAGTGTGTTAATTTCCCCATTATGGCCCAAGACACGCATAGGCTGAGCACGATCCCAGCTCGGAAATGTGTTAGTTGAGAACCTAGAGTGTATCTGCACCAAGAATCGAAAAAACCATATTTTCACTCCAAAATGTGTCCACATTATGAAAATATGGGTTCTTAACTTCATAATTGGAAATGAAATCGTGTTCAGGGCACTACAATTATGATATACTGTAATGACAGTACAAAACATCATGGAAACCCTAAACTACCTTGACCAAACACAATTTCTTTTCAACCACCAACATGAAGGTTTTGTCCTTAAGGACTGATCATAGAAAGCAAGGCAACAAGTTTCTGCAAACATGATTTACTTCATAATGAGGTAATTTACCAACTCACCCAAAAAATCCAATCTGGCATCCAAATTCAAACAGTAATCTAGGGAGTGGAAGAACTTAAGAGATCATTCAAACTTCAATGCCTCAGAAGTCATTCCTCAACCTTGAAATCTCTCCAGTTAACTGGTTCATCCCATGCTGTTCGTTGCCAAAGTATGGAGTCAGTGTACAAAGAAGAAGTGTAAATGAAAAATATATTTACCAGGGCCATGTAGCTTGTAAACCTTTCAGTGCCAAGATCTGCATAGTAGTACTCCTTCAACTGATTGGGCTTCAGCTGACCCTTGTAGACAACAGTCCTGCAGAAACAAGGTAAGGTCTTCACAGTCTGAAAGCAGAATTCAGCAAATGAACATATCGGCAAGACACTACAGCAAACAAACCTTGAGGAAAGAGAACATATGTAGAAGTCCCTCACACCACCATGTTGGAGGTTTAGTGCAGCTCGAATAGCTACCACCATTGAAACCCCCCTTAATATATACATCTGCAGAATGAAAAAGAAAGACAACAAAAAGTGCGAAGACCAGGAGTCTTTCAAAGGAAGAAAATAATTGGATGAAACTCTCAAATAAAACACATTACGGGAAATAAGAGAGGACTGAGAAAGTATCCTGCAAGAGTCACATGGTTCATCAATTTCACCTCATTTTTACAAAACAAATAGATTGTAAAATCAAGGGAACTTCCCCATGGGAAATCATGCAACAACCCCAATATTGTGAGTACTTTCTTCCAACAATCCACTGGAGGTACTAGTGGATTGTATTCAATCAGGGGAAGCCAGTCCATGCACAACTGACAAATCATGTAACCCCAATATTGTGAGTACTTTCTGCCAAAAATCCACTATAGGTACTAGTTATCATGGATTTAGTCAGGGGAAGCCAGTGAATGCAGAACGGACAAATCATCCCACTTTCAAGCCTAAAAACTGATTCTAGCATAACAGAGAGAGATTTACCTGTTGCTCAAAATCAGCTTTTGACCGAGGCGTAGGTGTAAAAAACACTTGCTCAATAACAGGTTCTATCTGCAAAGCAGATTTGCCCAATCCTGAGTTATCTGTGGGGACCATGCGCCACCCAAGTACAGTATGCCCAAGAGACTCGGCCACCTACAAATATATTTCATAAATTCTCAGAAAACAACATCAAGACAAGATATAAGAAAATTCTAGCAATTAATCGGAATGGCAACTCAAAACATAGAAATCCGGAACTGTGCCAAGAATTCCATTTCAAATATTTGAGCAATAATGAAGATGCTCCTCGCTGGAGTTCACGTAAAAGAATAAGAATATAGATGAAGTCTCCACTAAACTAAACATAGACAGCAAAAGAAATGAGAACAAACAGGCCAAATTTTAGCTAAGTTACCTTTGTAAATACAATTTTGCTTTGTTCCCTTCGACTTTCAGATGCAGGCAAGAAGAACATGCCCACGGCATATTGTCAACGTGGTGCCAGCTCGAAACCAATATCCTTAGCAACCTGACCAAACAAAAATCACCACCTAGTAGTTTATAATAAAGTAAAGGAGAATATGGCCTTGAGCCAAAGACAACAAGAGTAAAACCGCTAGAAATTAGAATTCAGTTAAGGTATTAGAAACACGCATACTTACTAAACATTTTTCTCTTTTTGTTTCTTTCCCCTTATATAATCACGCAAATTTGAAACGAAAATTACATAACCAAATAAATTCATCACAAAGAAAATAAAACGGTTAGCTTTCAAAAATAAAAAATAGATTCCCTGTCGAGAAAGGTTGTTAATAGAAAAACGTCTTCATAGTTATTACCTCAAAAGAGAAATGAAAGTGAAGTTGATAAACACACCTCCTTATAGAAGTCATGAGGAAGAGCTACGAGAATACCAGCTCCATCACCAGTATTTGTCTCAACCACAAGCGCCTCTATGTGACATACGTACCAACATCTCTATCGCATCCGTCACCTACAGAGCACAAGGACAGTTCCATCAAAAGTGGAATAAAATATTTGCATTGTCATGTGAGTTAGCTGTCTCTTTGGATCCTTTTTTCTTTTACATTCCACTGATAGATAATGAGAAGAAGTGCCTTGGGTTGGACAAAAAGTTGGAGGTCACAGCTAGTGTATTGCGTTCCTTCACTGATATCTTTTACATAATCCATATCTTCTTTCAATTTCGTACCCGCTTTATTGCTCCTTCTTCGCGAGTATTTGGAAGAGGTGTTTTAGTGGAAGATGCTTGGGCAATAGCAAAGAGATATTTATCATCGTACTTTTTAATTGACATTCTAGCTGTTCTTCCACTGCCACAGGTGAGAAAAGATTTCTGCATTGCCAAAATGTCCTCACGTTGCAATTTTCCATTCCTCTCTGGACAATTCCAAATCCGTTTTCTTCTTGTTCAGCAATTTGGGGCAGGTTTTTTAAGAAACATTTTGAGCGGAGTCTAATGATTGGTTCTGCATTATTATACTAGTGTGTGATAATTTCTGAGGCATAAACAAGAAGGATGATTTTTGCCCTAGTGCATGTATGTTTTCTTTTTTAATTTTTTTTTGTGGTTATTGCATGCATGTTTTGTCTGTAGTTGCAACCTTTTTGGCATCTAATTGCATATGCATTATAAAATCTTTCTTGATCTCGAATTTAGCCTGTTCACTAAAAATATTTGTCTTATTCTAGTGTTATTTTATCGGTTATCTTACAAAACTCTCTTTTGGCTGCTCTCAGCTACTGGGAGCCTTTTGGTACTTGTTTTCTATTGAACGTGAAACTACTAGCTGGCGAAAAGCTTGTGCAAGTAGGGCTGATTGTGTCCATGCTTCAGTGTATTGTGATGACAATAATGTCGGATTTATCACATTTCTGAATAATACATGCCCTATACAGACACCAAATGCAACACTTTTTGAATTTGGGATATTCATTGACGCTCTTCAGTCTGGTGTTGTCCAATCAACGGATTTCCCGCAGAAATTCTTTTACTGTTTCCGGTGGGGACTGCAAAATTTGAGGTATGAACATAAAAGATGGTATCTGTTCCTCTAATTTTTACTAGTGTTTCGAATAAAAATTGCAATGTTCTTTTCTTAATCACTGGTTTGTGTTGTACTCGAGTTGTACTTGTTTGACATTCATTGAAGCCAAGACCTAAAAAAGGAATGAAAAAAGGATGATCTATAGGAACATGCCACCAATACCCTTTATCTTTTGATGATTGAAGTGCATGCCACGAATATCCGATGTTAGATTGACTATTGTAGTTCACATGTGCGATTGGTGTTCTCATACATAGCATGAGTGCAAAGTTGAGGAAAGTTTGGTGACACCAGTTCTTCTAGATCTTCGTTGCTGGAAGAGAAAATTTATTAATCTTTTTTTTTTTTTGGGTAGATAAGAAACCCAATTAGTCTTTCAACTATTTCATTTCACCAGATGGTACAAGGAAAGCAGAGGAGGAGGGACGGAATCTTGGCAGATGAGGTTCTTATGTCACTTTTTTTTATAGGAGGGTTTTCTTTGAAATGCCCTCCTTTCACTTGCTTCTAATCCTTTGGGACTGGATGTGTAAGCCGATAAGACAGAAAAGTAATTATGATTCATGGCAAGTGCTATCTCTCTCTTTGGCTCTGCCCGTATTTATGCATAAAGATATATGAGTGTGCATACCGGTATATATAAATATGTGTGTGTGTGTGTACGTTCGGATTATTGCTAAATATTTTCATTCTTGTTTTTGCTGGTCAAATCTTTACTACAAAGAGGAAAGAGTGCGATTTCTCAAATTGGTGATACTGGTGGCAGGTGGAGGCAGCGGACCACCTGATTTTCGGCCGCGTTTGATTTTCAGATGTGTGTGTGGGCGCGCGTTTGGTTGTGGACGGAAGGAAGAGGAAGCAAATGGGTAGTTGTGCATGGGGTTTGGTATTGGGTCTTGCCTTCTGTAGTGGGTGAGTTATTTTCAAGGGTTATTATTCACATTCTAAACCAATGAATCTGTTGATATTAGGAAACTCCATTGCAATTTCAGGTTTGTCAAGTCAGGGAAATTCAATCCCAAAGTATGGGGGTTTAGTGTTGTTCTAGAAACAATAATATTATTAGTTGGATATGCTTTGTTGATACAATTTATCGACCTAGATTGATAGATAAATAATAAGGGATGTCAATATATTTATCCTTACATCTAAGGACCATTAACAACCATAAAGGTCTTTCCAAAAACAGAGATGAGTTGGAGGGGTAAAGTGTTATTTTGAAAATATTAAGGTATCTCTTAAAATATTGATCATCATATAACAACCATGATATAATTCCATAACCTCTATAGATGGGAAATCATTTTAGTTTATTAGATTTCAATTAAGCAAGCTTGCACAAATGTTAAAACTCAAATGTCATGTGGCCATGAAGAGGCATTGCAAAATATAAAATGAAGTGACTAGATTTATGTTTACCATAGCAAAACAAGGGAAATTTTGCTCACAATCTCTCAGTCTGATAAGGATTGTTGGCTTGATTTATTTTATGGATGCACTCATTGCTACCTGCATTACCTCAATCTTCAATATCCGCACTGAGAGAATCTACAGAGTTACCTGACAACAATGGTAACTCTACAACATCTTTGTTCATTTCATGATTCTCAGTTGGGATCTCTTGTGGAGTTAGAAAAGGCTTTGGAGGCATTTTCAGGAGTGCAACATCTCCTTCCAGCATCTCCACCACTCTGTGCATAGAAGGACGATCAATAGGCTTCAGTTGTATGCACCAGAACGCTACTATGATCATCTTCTTAACCATCTTCTTTTCCTCCTCAGTGGTAGCTCCCAAATCAATGTCCTCTCCTTCGCTGTATCGATCATAAACCCATGAGGGGAAGTAAATTTGGCTTGGGCGATCAGCAATTGCATTCAAATTCTTCCTTCTGCCCCCCATTTCCATTAACAACATTCCGAAACTATACACATCAGCTTTGTATGAGACACCTCCTATGTTTTTGTAGAACAATTCTGGAGCCATGTAACCCATTGTGCCTCTTGCTGCAGTCAAAGGCACAATGCTATCATCTATTGAATATAGTTTCGCAAGCCCAAAGTCAGAAACTTTTGGAATGAAATTCTCATCAAGAAGAATGTTGTGGGGCTTGATGTCGAAATGTAAGATTTGCATGTTACAACCTTGATGTAAATATTCAATCCCATGAGCCACTCCGAGAGAAATCTTATACATTTTTTCACAACTCAAGGAGACGGTTTTTTCTTCTCGTGGGAAAATATGTTTTTCAAGAGACCCATTAGGCATGAAGTCATATATAAGAGCGCGCTTTGAACCCTCCGCGCAGAAGCCAACGAGTCTCACCACATTAAAATGGTGAATCCTTCCAATGGTAGCAACCTCACTGATAAATTCTTGCCCAGTAGCTTTGGATTTGCCTATCTTCTTCACCGCAACAAGGGAGCCACTTCGAAGCTTTCCTTTAAAGACAGTACCAAAGCCTCCTTCGCCCAATTTTTCATTGAAACCATTAGTCATCTTCCTAATCTCTGAGTAACTATACCTTATGGGCATGAGGTTATTGTGTCTTTGTAGGAAGTCTTCAATGTTGTCATAAATTGGTAAGTGCAGCTTTCTCCATTTATATACCACAAATGCGAGAAGAAATGAAATCCCACAGAAAGACCTTGCTGCAATAATCCATCCTACGCATATTTTAATAGAAAAAATTAATGTGAATTCGGGAATTTGAAAAAGAGAAAGATTCTTATGGATTTCTTTTTCTTTTTTTTGTGGTGGGGGAAAGAAAAGGGGCTGATTTTACTTAACAGTCTAAAATGCGATCGCAAGTCAGACTTATCAAAAACATGCCAATTTGAGTCACATTTTCCTTCGAGCCGAGGGAAATTTGAAAATCTGACATTAAATACAAGCCAAAATTACATTGAGGGTCTTAGCTTACCGATTGGTTTGTATACTAGAGTGAAAACATCTGTCAGAAATTCCAAAAGAGAGCAACACCAAAGATAAGATGTTAAAAAAGTTATAGGAAGAGGCTTATAAACATGAAAGAAAAGGAGAAAAGAATAGAGAGAATACTCACAAATCAACACGGAAGCAAGCCTACATTTTCCAAACATAAACAATGTCAGCAAACCAAAATGAAAAATGTTAGAACTGAAAATAGAAAAACTCAAACACTTGATACTGTGATATTTAGGAGATTTTTAGTAAGATTATCGTGCTCTCAAGATAGATCTGACATGTTTTGTAAGTTGATAATCTTGTTTAGTTGATATTACTAGCAACAGAATTTTGTAACACTATAGCTTTTTTATTTCTCATTAACACAAACTGAAATGACATTATAATTTACTGCCATTACTTTTAAGAAATACCATATATTTATGACTTTGACTATGATTTTCCTTTTGAGTTTTTCCATTTTGCTGAAAACCTTATAATTAAAACCAGGGAAAGGAGGAGTAAAAAATAAAAATGCTCAGTAAAGCCCGTTTGAAGAATCCAGTCCAAACACTTCTCTTTCCACCACCTTATTACGATAAAAACTTATAACTTAATTTTATCATGTCCCCAGCAAAAAAAAATGAGAAGGAAAAATAATATGAGAAACAGAAATACATTATGCAAATTTCTTACAATCTTATATTATTCGTAATTGTTTAAAATTGCTATAATTTCTTAAAATTTATGCAAATTTAGCCTGAAATTGATTATTATTAACTTAATTACTTATATAGAGAAAGACATTTTTGATAATATTATTAATAACGTTATCAGTTGTCAGGGTTTATTGTAATTAGTCTCATTTTTTGTAAAAGCTTATAATTAGTCTTTTTTTATTGAGTATTGTTTGCATAGACTACGTATATTGGTGTTTAATCTTTTTGTATTTGATGAATCTTTAAACATGCAACAGGATGTAAATAAAAAAAAGGAACTATTTTTACCACAATACTTTTATTGATGAGAAAAAAAAATTAAAATTTTGCTGATTAAATGTGCTCACCTAATAATACATTTCTCAATATATTTCTGATTCTAGTTCTGGTGTTGGTTCTGGCTCCGTCCCCTGAGCAATGGACAACATTGTCCTCAAATCCGAGAAGGCAAAAGCCGCCTCTTGCTTCACACTGTCCACAATAGACGCGATACCATAAAAGCTCAAACCCATATGCAAGCCCGTCATATAAGTCTGAAAAAAAAATGTTGCCTTCCGTCGCGGGCCCTAAGATATTTGCTGTTGTCCAAACCAGATTGCCGATGCTGCAGGAGTCCTCCAGTTCTGAGATATCCATGCCTTCTCGTACCACATAATTATGATTTTGCAACGGAGATGGTGAAGTAGTGTTGGAGGTGGAAGTAGTGTTTCTTTTATCACAAAAGCTAGCGTCCACATATCCACTCCTATTTACGGGATTCTGACAGCTTGTGAACATAACACCAAAGTATGGCCCTGCTGTGGAGAATCCGAAATAATCGGTATATGGCAGAGAATGAAGTGGAAGAGAAGAGCAATTATCCTTGTCTAGACCGGGATCAACAAGTCGAATCGAGAAGTTGTCATAAGTGATTGCCTCCACGTAGTAGGAGTAGTTGAATTTGTAGTCGTACCCTGCATAAGGATCAGCTTTAAGGTATAGTATAGTGCGATTGTTGTTGCAGGCAAGTTGGTAGTCGGGAAGACCACAGTGCTGGGGATCGTCTTCCAGCCGGAAAGGGTAGTGTATGTCATGGATATTCCCGCAAGACGAAGTGCAGTTCTGATCATTATTTTGCTGGGCTTTGCAGCACCTACTTGTTACGCACAATACAATTAGTAGAAGAAATCTTTGGCTTACAAGCAAGAAGACCCCCCTCCTCCTCCTCCTCCTTCCTGACATCATAACTAGAAAGAAAAGCAAAGCCAAGGTGTACTTATCTCTTAACTCTTCTTTTGTGGCTTCATTTCATTTCATTTCATCTGTTTTAGAGACAGCCAGAAAAGGGTCCTCTGGAAAAGGAAGCACCCAAATGATGTGATTTGTTGGATGGTAGTAAGGCCCCCCTATCAACACGGTTAGATATATTCTTTGTTTAGGGGCCCACCTAAAATGAGTCGTCAGTTGAAAAGTCAAAGTCAATTACTGAACAAAAATAAAAATAAATTGGATAAGACTTGTATAGTATCTATAAATAAACATTGTTAGATATAGATGCATCATATATGAATAAATAATAATGCCATTTAGAACTACTTATTTGTCTTAAATTATTGATCTACTCCAAGGCCTCGTTTTGTTTACGTATAGTTTGTTGCCAGAAAATAACAAGAATAGACATTCCATTCAATTTTTTGATGTATATTTATTGTGGTTGTCTCAAAGAAATAAATAATAATAAGTCACTCAATCAAGAGTTTCCTCGAAACTAATAAAATTAGATATTTTATATATAGTTCCCCTCGTACACTTATGATAGGGTCCCAAAGAAGAAAAAATTGTAAGATAAGAGTTTCCTCGAAACTAATAAAACTAAAGTTTGGCTGAAACTAATAATAATATTAGATATTTCATATAGTTCTTTGTCATATACTTGATGTAAGGGTCCCAAAGAAAAAACTTTTGTCTCACAAGAGTTTCCTCGAAATTGACCAAATTAAAAACACTTACTAAAGTAATAAAATTTAAAAATACGAGACTGAATTTTTTTTATATTCATTTGACATGGTATAGTCCCAATCATTAAATTAATGGTTTACACTAATTTAATACCCAAATTTTGGATATAGGTAATACTTGTTACGATATTTTATATGAGCAATGTTATTGAGATCTAATTCACTATAACATTTGATTGACTATAAACTTCATCAACTATTAGAATTTAGTGTTGATTAATTAATTTTACTGAAATCACATCATTATATCAATAAACTATATCAAATATTTAAATGCAAATAAGATTCCTCATAATTATTTGGTTCGTGTCTTGCATGAAGTGAGGCATTGCTTTTTGAGTCAAAGCCAGTCAACAAAAAAACTTATTAAATCAAAATAGGGTTTCGGCGGAATTAACACGGTTAGATATGCTATAATATTCTTTGTTTAGGGGATGCACCTGAAATGAGTCTGTCACTTAAAAAAATAAATATAAAATAGATAAGACTTTTATCATTTCTATAATTAGTTATAGTCCATGTCTGAATATACAATATAAGAAAAAAAATTATCAATCATAGACATATTTTAATTCACACTCAAAATCAAATCATAAACATAAAGAAGAGGAAAAATAATTTAAGCATCAGTTGTAGTGAGGGTGAACGGTAATAATAATGATGGTGATAGCCGTGGATGACAAACAGAGATGATGATGGTGATTTTTGGGTGACAATAATAGTAGTGACAGTCATTAGTGATGATGGTGGTAATGGTAAGTGTGCGTGGTGATACGCGATAGCGATAGTGATTAACAGTAGTGGTGGTGGGACAATGACGGTAGTTGTGGTGGTGGTGGGCGACGATGGTGATGGATGATGGCGAATGACAATGGTAGAGGTATGTGCGGTGGGGGTGGGTGATAGTGAATGATGACGGGTGGTGATGGACGATGATGGATGATGGTAGTTGGTGTGGTGGGGGTATGTGATAATGGGTGACGACAATAGTGAGTGACGACGGTGATGGTGGGCGACGAGGGTGGTGGTGGGTTGTAGTAGTGGGAGGTGGTGGACAACAATAGTAGAGGTGGGCAACGGTGGTGGTGGTGGGTAATTGTGGTAATAAATATAAGAATGAGATGATGATAATAGTGGCGTTGGGCGACGGTGATAGCAATTGGTGATGGGTGACGATAGTGATGATAATGGTGGTGGTGGTGGTTATTGTGGCAGAAGTGGTGGTGGTGGTTATTGTGGCAGAAGTGGTGGTGGTGGGGGTTGTGGTAGAGGTGGTGATGGGGTGGTAACGTTGACAGTGGTGATGGTGATGGTGATGATGGTGAGAGCGGTGGTGGTTGTTGCGTTGGTTATTGTGACAGAAGTAATAATGGGATGGTGATAGTGGCGGTGGGGCGGTGGTGATTGTGACGAAGGTAATGATGGGATGGCGACAATAACGGTGATAATGGTGATGATAAAGATAGTAATAATGCTAGTGGTGGGAATCAATGATATCCATCAATCTATTTTTTTTGTATTCATTGTTGCAAAAAATCTGATTAAAAAAATTATAATTGTGATTTTTGACCACTGACAGGGTACAGTCCAAATCATTAAATTAAATTAAATTAGTGGTTTACATTAATTTAATACCCAAAATTTGGATGATAAGTGTAAATACTTGTTGCCACGTGTTAAATAGTTCTTTGCTAGGTGTCTTCCATCACTTTGATTTTTCTTTGTACCCGAAAGTCGGGGAAAGTAATCAATTTATGGAGTCGCTCACTAGACCCCATTAAGGGCAAGTTGATTGTTTGTCTAAAGATTCCTAATAGTGGGCCACCTTTTTTTTGACGCGGCATGGAAGACTTTAGCTTTATCTGCCGTGTGGGTCATATACCATTATTAAGATAGAAAATAATTCTTAACATGACTATCAATCAACACTGTGCATGTATGTGTGTAGTCTTTAACAAGTTCATGTAATAAAAAAGTTGACATGCTAATTTCGCTTGACAAATTAACGGATTAATTATAACTTGATTAAACTCAACTAAATTTCATGTACGATAATAAATAAATTCGGTATGAATTAAATAAATTTTGATACAGTACTAAATACAAAATTCAAAAATGCACACTAGCACGATTCATGAAAAGTTAAAATCAAAATCAAGGAATATTCATCGTTGGTTGGTATTGGTACCTACATAATTTTAGTTTAGAATTCATTGCCATCCTACAATGATTTTCAAATGACTATGGAAATTGTTAAACGCAATGAATATAAAGTCTAATTTGTTAAAAAGAACTAGAAAAAGAAGGATCCATGACGTGTTATGCAATCTAATAAAATGGTTTAATAATCTGCAAAATTTTATGTTATGTCTCTCGAGAATATAAAAATTAAATCAAAATTAAGCAGCAGCAATATGTCACTCAACTTCAACTGATTTCTATAATGATATTTAACAATTTTCATGTTGCAGAACAATAAAAGAAAAATAAAAATTGGGTCAACGTATATCTAACATTTTTCATTATACTTAGACAGACCCAAAGGTCTTCTTACAATATATACTTAACGATATATGCAATTGATATCGTTCTTTAAACTTGATTGTCTAGTTTAAATCCTAGGTCAAATATACATGATCCCAAAAGCTTATAAACATTCGATAGGTTTTTATTTGTTCATTTTTATAAACATGAGATTGAAGCATTTGTTACTTGGATTGAATCTAAACTTTGAAACATTATCAAATTCGATTTATTGTGCAATATCAATGAGCACATAAATGAATCAAAATTGAGCCGAACTCAAATCAAATTCAAGTTACTTGAATCATTATACACTCGATGTGAGCTTTGATTCTCGGAATATTTTCTAATGTAAAGGACACTCATTTGTGTTGATGGGGTGCTTATATATCTGCAGGGAAGCAACTTCCAACCCCAGCCCATTCTCTAGAACTAGAATTTAGGCCCCAGACGTCATCAAACACTTTCATGCTGTTTTAGTCCCTTGTATTTCGAATGCTAAGATCCAATAATAAATAGGCCAACACACAACCGACACAACATAAAGTCGAATATGTTTCTTATTTTTTGCACAACACAAACCTAACATTACTCAAATGAATTTTAATTAGACTAAATTTTGATACAACACGACTTAAACAAGATAGGACTCAACGTGACACTCTTGACAACCCATTGCCAACTCTAGTACAAAGTTTGCATGGTGGCCAGCTATTACTTCGGAAGCAACACAATTGACCTAGAGGAGAAAGTAACTGAACAAACACTTGAATTCCCAATTAACTCTGTATTTCAATTTCCATTTTTTTTCCTTTTTGAATTTTTCATATATTCCTTTTTTGAAAAAGGGAAGAAAAAGGTTGATGAATGTTCACGCTTATACCATATTACTAATGCACGACATGCATTGCACGTGAAATTTTTTGTTGAAGCATTTAATAAAATACATAAAATCTAATTATGTTGTTACATTATATATTATTTCATATTTATCATACTTAAATTGTTTATATTCTCTTCATAACTATTAACATCTAATAAACTCATTTTATATGATTCTTTTATTCGAGTTATTAAGTAGTAAAGTTTATAGATTTTTTTTTTTCTGTCTTTCTTGTTTTTACTTGGTGCATCAATAATTTTTTACTAAATTATTTTAATTGTGAATGAAGAGATAAGATAAATATATATCTTTTTGAGCACTGAAGATAACATTGTATCAATTGAGTTGTCAACGTGTATTAATATTGGAATTTCGGGAAAAAAGTAATATTATTTTTATATATCATGTGTTAAACATAACATAACCATTTAAAAGTTTTATAAAAATAGAGAGATTTGTATGATATGTAAGAGAATAATTTTTTATTTACATATAAAGAGATATAATAGTAATTTTTATATTTAAATACAAAAGGACATATTAATCTTTATGTTTTTTTATAAGAGTAAAATAATCAATAAAAAATTTTTGGGCATTGAAGATAATATTGTATCAATCGAGTTGTCAACATGTATTAAAATTGAGTTTTTTAGGAAAAAAATAATATTGTTTTTATATATCATGCGGTAAGCATAACATGACCATTCCAAAATTTTACAAAAATAGAAAAATTTATATGATATGTTAGAGATTAGTTTGTTCTTTACCTATAAAGGAATATAATGGTAATTTATATATTTAAATATAAAAAAATATATTAA